TCGCTCTGCCTGGCTCATCCCTACTTATCCGTCAAGTCCCAACTGAAGCTCCTCCCTCCTCCAGAACCAGCCTGCACAACCCAGCCCACAGCAACCTGTCCTGGAGGATTCCTACAGCACTGGCTATCTATAAGCTAATACACCTTGTGTGAGAACTTTTACCTTAAAAAAAAAAAAAAAAGAAAGAAAGTCTATCTTGCCTTGCCAACTAGTTTCTAAACTCCATGGAGCAGAAGCAATGTTCTGTAGAGTAATCCTTTATCAACCGTGGCTTTGAGAATGAGATATATTTTTTTAAGTTTTAATTTTGAAATAATTTAGACTCACAAGTTGCAAAAAAAAAAAAAATAGTACGAAGCGTCCTGTGTCCCTTCCACCCAGTTTCCTCCCATGGTGACATCTTATAAAGCAGCAATTCAATATCAAAACCAGGACAGTGAATTGGTACACTGCTGTCAACTAGACTACAGACCTTATTCAGTTTTCACCATCTTTTTATTTTTATTTTTTTAAAGATTTTATTTCTTTATTTGACAGAGAGAAAGAAAGCGAGAGAGGGAACACAAGCAGGGGGAGTGTGAGAGGGAGAAGTAGGCTTCCCGCCGAGCAGGGAGCCCGATGCGGGGCTCAATCCCAGGACCTGGGATCATGACCTGAGTCAAAGGCAGACGCATAACGACTGAGCCACCCAGGCGCCTCTTCACCATCTCTTTAAACCTGCATTCATTCGTGTGTGTGTGTGTGTGTATGCAGCTCTATGCAACTTTTTTTTAAATAGATGAAGTTTAATATAAAGAATTAATTGAGGGGGCACCTGGGTGGCTCAGTTGGTTAAGCGACTGCCTTCGGCTCAGGTCATTATCCTGGAGTCCCGGGATCGAGTCCCACATCGGGCTCCCTGCTCGGCAGGGGGTCTGCTTCTCCCTCTGCCCTCTTCCCTCTTGTGCTCTCTCTCATTCTCTCCCTCTCAAATAAATAAATAAAATCTTAAAAAAAAAAAAAAAGAATTAATTGAGGGACGCCTAGGTGGCTCAGTTGGTTAAGGGTTGGCCTTTGGCTCGGGTCATGATCATGATCCCAGGGTCCTGGGATCGAATGCCGCATCAGGCTCCTTGTTCAGCGGGGAGTCTGCTCCCCCTGCTTGTGCACGTCCCACCCCCCCCCCACAAATAAATAAATATTTTTTAAAAATAAAGAATTAATTGATTTTAACAGCAAATTGAAATAACAAGAGATTCACTGGTAAGGGGCCTTGGCATGTACTAAATCCCCGGTGGGGAGTCATTCTCAGGGAGGCACTGCTCTCTGGAACTGCAGGGGCGGGGGCGGTTTCCAGGGGAAGCTGCTGACCACCTGGCACTTCAGGAGCCACATGCTGGGGAGGCCGCATGCAATGCAGGTGCCCAGGAGCCCGCAGAGCAAGCACATGGGCAGGGAACCAGGAAGCAAAAGCCCTTCCTCCTGTCATCTCTCCTGGACCCTCTACTGACAGTGATAAGTGACTTATCCTGTCACTTAGCGAAGGAAAACTGTTTCAAAGGCCCAGGTCAATTTTCACGGAGCCAACAAGAAAGCTGAACTTGGAGCTGAGTCAATAAATTGGTAAGCGGGAACACTGTGGGACTTAGGGCACTACCGGCATTTAGTGAGTGGAGAGGCCTGGGATGCTGCAGCGAGCGGTGAGCTGAGCTGTCTCACACAGGCAAGCAGCAGCCCTGAAATGTGCCAGGAGCACCTCTGTATCAGTCAGGGTCCCGGCAGGAAACGGCAGCATACTCAAATAAGGATACTTTGAGAAGAGTCTCTGGACATGGTAGTGGGCAGGGCTGGGAAACCACAGGGGGAGTGCAGCTCCCTGGGGCTGCTTACCTCCCCCAGGCCTGAAGAGGCAGGAGGCGGCTGTTGGAACCCAGGAGAGAAGCGTGTGGGAAGAGCTGCCCGACTGGATGATAGGAGCGGTGACCTTTCAGCATGGGGTGCAGCCAGCCACAGCCCCTGAGGTGGGGAATAAATACCCCAACCTCATGCTCTCCCCTCCGACCTGCCGTGCCACACCCCTCATCCCACCCCGACCCCCACGTTGAGTGAACCCAGATGGAAGACAGAAGGATGGAGAACTGTCAGACACTCCCCAGAGTCCACTGAGACCCAGCTTGATGGGGAGGGGACCGAGGGCTAGGCAGGAATGCGGCTGGCTGTGTCTGGAGACTGCTCCTCTGGCCCTAACTCGTGGCCCTGAGCCCAGTGAGCCCCCAGAACCTCGCAGCTGGACAGCATCTCCTCCAACAAGATCCGAGTGAGGGCCAGGTTGGGCATGGCAGGGAAGTCTGCGACGTCCAGCCTGCGGAGGGTCAGAGGCCGTCCAGGCCGTGGTAGCTGGCAGCCCAGCCGCTGACATCGACAGCCTCCAGAGGCACTGCCTGGAACTTCGAGAACTCGAGAGAGAAGTGGCCATGTTCATCTGACCATATTCACTCCTTGCCCTGAAACGGCTGGCCTCCCTGCTTCAGGATGTAATAGGCACCCCTGAAGTATGGGCCATATCGCCCCGTGATGTAGGTGAAAGGTCGATTTTTCTGGTGCACCTGCGACACCTGCTTTTGGAGCAGGTACTCTCTCAGAGCCTCCACGTCACAGAAGCGGTCAGCCAGGACCTGGAGCAGCGACCTCCCCTTCTTCCAACTGCTTCTGGGGCCACCGCCCTGCCCAGGCCATGGATACCACCGGTACCCCCCGTTCCAGGCCAGGGCCACCAGGTGCAAGGACTCTTAAAGCCCCCAGACTCTTCCTTCAACCTCCTTCCAGTCTTCTCTTAGCCTGCTCCAACCCTGCCCTGGGCACCGCCACCTTGCTAGACTGCCAACTGTATGCAAACTGATCCCACGTACAGATTTGTGTGATCACCACCACAATCAAGGTTCAGAACTGTGCCATCACTGCAGAAGAACTCCTTCGTGCCACCTCTGTATCTGCACTACCCCCACCCCGCCCCTGTCCTCTGGCAACCACTCATCTGTTCCCCATCTCTATAGTTTTATCATTTTAAGAATGTTACAGAAATGGAATCACACAGTATGTACCCTTCGGGGACTTTTTTCACTAGGCATAGTATCTTTGAGGTTTATTTAGGTTGTTACCTGTATCAATAGTTGATTCCTAGTTATTACTTAATATTTATGTACAGATGTACCAGAGTTAAACAATTTACCTGCCGAAGGATGTTGGGGTTGTTTTAATATTTTGCTATTATGAATAATGCTGCTATGAACATTCATGTACAGGGCTTAAAATTATTTTTACAAATTGTGTTAAAATAGACATAACATAAAATGGACTACTTAAATCATTTTTAAACGTAGCGTCAATGGCACTAAGCACATTCACAGGGTTGTGCAACCATCAGCACCATCTACCTCCAGAACTCTCTTCGTCTGGCAAAACTGAAACTCCACACACATTAAACACTAACTGCCCACTCCCTCCTCCCTCCAGTGCCTGGTAGCCACCATTCCACTTTCTGTTCTGTGACTCTGACTACTCTAAGTACCTCACAGAAGTGGAATCATACACTATCTCTCCTCGTGACTGGCTTATTTCACTTAGCATAATGTCCTCAAATGTCATCCATGTTGTAGGATGTGTCAAAACTTCTTTTCAAGGCTGAATAATACTCCATTGTATGTAGACACCATACTCTGCTTACCCATTCATCCATCCATGGACATCTGGGTTGCTTCTGACTATTGTGAATAATGCTGCTATGTACATGGGTGTACAAACATCTGCTCAAGTCCCTGCTTTCATTTCTTTGGGGCATATCCCCAGAAGTGGAACTCCTGGGTCAAATGATAATTCTATTTTTAATTTTGGGGTAACTGCCATACTGTTTTCCACATCTACTGCTGACAAGGACAGCAGCTGGGGACTGGACCACATGTCACCTGTCACCCAAACTGGCCAGAGCTCAAACATGAGACACTGTGGTCACGAGTAAGAACAACTGGAACAAGGGCTGGAAACCAGGAAACATGGGAGACACTGCCCAGTCCTTAAACAGCTGTGTCCTTGGGCAAGTGACTCCATCTTCCCCGACCTCAGCCCTACGCTGTACCACACAGGCGCTGAGCTAACTCCGTGAGTGGTTTCAGACCCCAGAAGGCTGACCGACCTGGAAGAAATGGGAATTGGGCCAGCAGATGGCCTTCGGACCTGAACCGCAACAGTGGCTCTTCCTGGGTCTCCTGCCTGCCTGTCGACCCTGCAGATTTTGGATTTGCCAGCTTCCACAACTACAGAGCCAATTCCTTAAAATAAATCTCTCGCGCGCTTTTTTTTTTTTTTAAACAAACATATGCTATTGGTTCTGTTTGTCTGGAAAAGCCTAATACAGATTTTGGTTGAGTAGAAACAGAGGTCTCTGTGCTATTTCAAGCATTTACAAAGCCTCCCCTCCCCCATATCCAGTGACTCCTGACAACTTGACACAGGTTAATGAAAACTGTTACGTCTTATGCTCTCTACTGCTGTTCATAGTTTTTACTTTGGCTTCAGCTCTGTCACTGATTGGCTAAACTGTGGAGGCTTAGGTTAAAGGCACAGGCTTTGGAGAGTCAGACTTTGGGCACTGTCTGCCAACAGCTGTGTGACTTCGAGCAAATTACTTCACCTCTCTGAGTACTTTTCCTCGTCCGTAAAGTGGGGATGACAACTATCTCAGGGAAAGAAGTGTCATGATTTAATTGTCATCACATTTTAGAAAACTTAGACAAAGCCATCAGCCACGGTGCAGCGGGCACTAAAACTAGCAGCATGTCTTCCAGAACATGCCGTTTGAGGAAGGGCACATGTGAGGCGCTGGCCCCAAATGAACCTCAACTGGTGATGTCCAACGCCTTTCCAGCTGGGACAGACGCAGAGCTTGACCCCATGGCCCCAGGCAGCAGGTGACTCCCAGCCCCGCCCCCACGCCAGCCCCGCCCCGCCCGCGGGCTTGCGCTCACCTGGATCTCCTGACAGGCCGACGCCGCCCGCCGACCCTCCGCTTGCTTCTCCTCGATGAGGCCCAGGCCCAGTCCGAAGGCCAGAAAGACGGCCCGGCCGCAAGGGCCCGCGCCGCCCCGGGCCCGCACCGTGAACTGCCGCTGGAGCCGCGCCGCCAGCCCGGCCACCGACTGGCGGAAGAAGCGGTAGCGGTCGGGGAGCCCGAGCCCGAGCCGGCGCCGCTCCGCGCCGGGCCCCGCGGCCTGGCCGGGGCGTTCTCCGCGGCGCCAGGCCGCCGCGGGGCCCGGCCGCTCGGGCCGCCCCCAGACGTAGGCCGAGCCAGGCTTGGCGGTGAAGCGCAGCAGCAGCGCTCGACCCAGCTGCAGGCCGCGGCCCAGCGCCTGTCGCACCGCCATGGTGGCACCGCGACCCGGTTCCCTCCAGCCGCCCCAAGCGTCCGGGACGCTCCGCACCACAACAAACTTGGGGCGGTGCCTCTGCGCAGGCGCGGGCGCGGGCGCCGGGGGTGGGGCGGGACCGCCGCTCTGGCGGTTCCCCCGCTGGGCGCGAGGGGGCGCCGTGCGCACCTGCGCGGCGGGTAGCTTCTCGCCCAAGTGCACTTTTTTTTTTTTTTAAGATTTTATTTATTTATTTGAGACAGAATGAGAGACAGAGAGAGCTCATGAGAGGGGGGAGGGTCAGAGGGAGAAGCAGGTTCCCCGCCGAGCAGGGAGCCCGATGCGGGACTCGATCCCGGGACTCCAGGATCATGACCTGAGCTGAAGGCAGTCGCTTAACCAACTGAGCCACCCAGGCGCCCCTGTTTTGTTTTGTTTTGTTTTTTAAGATTTTATTTATTTATTTGAGACAGAATGAGAGAGAGAGAGAGCACGAGAGGGAAGAGGGTCAGACGGAGAAGCAGACCCCCCGCTGAGCAGGGAGCCCGATGCGGGACTCGATCCCGGGACTCCAGATCATGACCTGAGCTGAAGGCAGTCGCTTAACCAACTGAGCCACCCGTAGGCGCCCCCAAGTGCACTTTGAATCCAGCGTGGAGGGGTTAAGAGTTCTGAGTGTGAACATCGCTGGTCCTGGGCAAAATCGAGAAACTGACAAAGGAAACTATTTATTGACCATCACCCGCCGCGCCAGACTCTTTACATCTGCTAATTAATTTCATTTTCGCCCAGGAATGTCATTTTTATAGATAAGGAAACTGAGGCATGGAAAGGGTGGTGACAGTCTGTGGTCACATGCGGTGTCAGAGCTGAGATTAAAGTTCACGTTGCCCTGATTGTTGAGTCCTTGCCCACTGTACTACATGGATGGAGGTTTCTGTGGTTTGTCTTGCATAACTGACCACCCAGACCCGCACCCACACAGGCAGGCTAAAAAATGTCGTTTGTGAGACTTGTCCTGCATGAGTGACCTTGGGAGCCTGGTTAGTTGACATTAGCTCGCCTCCAGGTCAGAACTGGCCCTTGTGGGGGTGACTGGGTGGCTCAGTCATTTAAGCGTCTCTGCCTTCGGCTCAGGTCATGAGCTCAGGGTCCTGGGATCAAGTCCCAACTTGGTCTCCCTGCTCAGCGAAGAGTCTGGTTTTTCCTCTCCCTCTGCCCTTTGTTTCCCCCCGCCCCCACCCCGGCTTGTGCTTTCTCTCTCTCAAATAAATAAATAAAATCTTAAAAAAACAAAACAAAACAAAAACCTAGCCTTTCTGGTCCAGACACCAAAGAGCTATAAACCTTGCCTTATATCCCCTTTGGGTCTAGGCTGGGCTGGCCCCCCAGATTGGAAACTGGGAGGGGAGGAAAACACATCTAGCCCAGGCTCCTTGAAGATGTAAAGACATGATAAGAGAGGAATGCAGCTTGCTCCAAACCGCATGTAGGCAAACAAATGTTTAACTTCACACTCCATTATTTTGCCATATAAATCTGGCCTTTGTGGGGATGGTCAGTTGAAAGTCTCACTTGAGGGGAGGATGCTCCACCCAGGCCTTTCAATGGGGACTCCAGCCTGGCTGTCTCCACAGGGAGACCAGCTGATGAGGCTGGCTGTTTTAAGTACCCGATCTGATGTAACTTCGCCTTATTCTCCTTTGCTGCTTACTAATACCCTTGTTGATGTGTAGATTCCTTTGTTTTTCCCTTTCCACTTCTGTTTCTACTCAGTTTTTATAATAGCAATGAAGTTTTCCTTTCTCAAAACTCAAGTACAGCTATCGTGAATTCCTTTTTCTTTCTTTTTAAAGATTTTATTTATTTGACAGAGAGAGACACAGCGAGAGGGAATACAAGCCGGGGGAGTGGGAGAGGGAGAAGCAGGCTTCCCGCAGAGCAGGGAGCCCAAGGACCCTGGGATCATGACCTGAGCCGAAGGCAGACGCTTAATGACTGAGCCACCCAGGCGCCCCTCCTGAATTTCTTTTTCAAAACACCCGCCCGGCTCCTCATGCCCTTAGGCTCCTCTCTACAAGCCCACAGTCCTCTTCCCTTCTTAGGACCCCCCAAGAGAAATCTCACCCGAAGTCCATGTTTTTCCGATGAGTAAGCTAAGGTCCCAAGACATGGAGCCACCCGTCCAGAGTCACACTGCCTGTCAGTGGCAGAGCCCTGTTACCAAAGCCACTGCTAGGAATGGCTGATAAGGGATATGTACTGAGTGATTTCTTTTTTCTCTCCTTTTCTTGACTTTGTTTTTAATGGGAAATTTCAAACATACACAAAAAATAGAATTTAGTAAACCCTATGTACCTGTTATCCGGCTTCAACAACTACCGACAAATAGCCATTATTTTATTTATTTATACCTTCCTACTAACCCTCCCCCCATTACTTTAAAGCAAATCCCAGACATTATATTTCATTTATAAATACTTTAGTATCTATCTCTAAGAGATAACAATTCTTAAAAAAAAAAAAAAAATCCATTGACCATACTATTACCATCTCTAAAAAGATTAACATGAACTCCATAATATCATTTACTCTCCAGTTGATACTCAGATTTCCCCATCGTTTTATTTTGTTTTACAGTTATTCAGATTGGGATCCAAACAAGGTCTACATAATTTATTTGGGTCAGTGAGGTTTTTTTTTTAAGATTTTATTTATTTATTTGACAGAGAGAGACACAGCGAGAGAGGGAACACAAGCAGAGGGAGTGGGAGAGAGAGAGGCAGGCTTCCCGCGGAGCAGGGAGCCCGATGTGGGGCTCGATCCCAGGACCCTGGGATCATGACCTGAGCCGAAGGCAGATGCTTAATGACTCAGCCATCCAGGCACCCCCTGGGTCAGTGAGTTATTCTTTAACAAGAAGCCATCCCTCAAGATGTATATTTTGTGGTGGTGTCAGTTTTTAAATGTCCCTGTGGTCATGGGTAGCTAGCTCTATTCCTTACCCCTAAGGCTGGTTGTGGGTAAGAGACCCTGGAAGGGGGGCGCAGTCGTTAAGCGTCTGCCTTCAGCTCAGGTCATGATCCCGGGGTCCTGGGATCGAGCCCTACATCCGCCGGGAGCCTGCTTCTCTCTCTCCCATTCCCCCTGCTTGTGTTCCCCCTCTCACTGTGTCTCTCTCTGTCAAATAAATAAATAAAAATCTTAAAAAAAAAAAAAAAAAAGAGACCCTGGAATGTGTGTGAAACGTTTGGGTAGGCATGGCCATGTATCTCTCTGTGTGTGAGTGGGTGAGCCTCCAGGCAAGGAGGCATTTGTCTAGCCTGAGACCCACTTTAGTGTTGCTTGAGTAAATAGGCATAGCCTAACCCATTTATTTCAGAGCTCACTTGGGTCCTTCAGGACAGCCCTGGTTCCACACTGTACAGTAAGTAGGGAGAGCAGGCTAGCATGTAAAAATAAGGCAACTGCAAAATGCTTCATTTTTTAATTGGTGAATTTATTTTTTTTTAATATTTTATTTAGGGGCGCCTGGGTGGCTCAGTTGGTTAAACGACTGCCTTCAGCTCAGGTCATGATCCTGGAGTTCCGGGATTGAGTCCCACATCAGGCTCCCTGCTTAGCAGGGGGTCTGCTTCTCCCTCTGACCCTCTTCCCTCTCGTGCTGTCTCTCATTCTCTCTCTCTCTCAAATAAATAAAATCTTTTTTTAAAAAAAGATTTTATTTAGGGGCGCTTGGGTGGCTCAGATGGTTAAGTGTCTGCCTTCGGCTCAGGTCATGATCCCAGGGTCCTGGGATCAAGCCCTGCATTGGGCTCCCTGCTGAGCAGGGAGCCTGCTTCTCTTCTCTTTCTGCTGCTCCCCCTGCTTGTGTTCTCTTGCTCTGTCAAATAAAAAAATAAATAAAATATTTTATTTATTTATTTGGGAGAGAGAGAGCACACACGAGTGGGGGGTGGGAGTGGCAGGGGGAAAGGGAGAAGCAGGCTCTCCGCAGAGCAGGGAGCTCAACTCGGGGCTCCATCCCAGGACCTGGGATCATAATCTGAGCCAAAGGCAGACGGTTAACTGACTGAGCCACCCAGGTGCCCCTGAATTGGTGAATTTAGACATGTTGAAACTAATATATACATTAAATGGGAACCTGGTACTTTCACTCCTTGCTGGGCCAGGAGCCCGATGTGGGGCTCGATCCCAGGACCCCGGGAATGCATACATATTTCCCCAAGAATGTTTGTAGTAGTGCTATTTCACATAGTGTAAAACTGGAAACAACTCTAATGGCCACCTACAGTAGGCTGGATAAATTGTATGTTCACCCAACGGACTACTAAATAGCCATAAAAGTATCTACAGCTACATGCAACAGCATGGATGTATTTTATACATATCCTGATCGGTACGGAAGGCAAACACAAAAAGGAATGATTATCATGTTTCCATCTGCATAAAGTTCAAAGGCAGGTGAAACCAATCTCCAGTGTTAGAGGTCAAGAGAGCAGTTGCCCTTGGGAGGTGGTTACTAGAAGCAGACTCAAGGAGCCTTTGGGGGCTGTGACATTCTCTTTCCTGATCTGGGTATGTTCATTTGACAAAAATTCATGTAGATGTACACTCTGTCTTGTGCAGTTTGTTGTGTGTAATATCTCAATAAACATTTTACATAAACATCTTTTTAACATCATGAGAACTTTGAAAAGTTTGGTCTAACTCATTCATGGTCTCCAATTTTCTTAAAAATGAACTTTTATTTATTTTTTAAGATTTTATTTATTTATTTGACAGAGAAAGACACAGCAAGAGAGGGAACACAAGCAGGGGGAGTGGGAGAGGGAGAAGCAGGCTTCCTGCTGAGCAGGGAGCCCGACATAGGGCTCGATCCCAGGACCCTGGGATCATGACCTGAGCCGAAGGCAGACGCTTAACGACTGAGCCACCAGCCGCCCCTGAACTTTTATTTTGAATAGTGTGTTAAAGTTCACTAAGTTTACTCAACCGTCTTTGAACTTAGTGGTTTCCAACAACAAATACATGTTAATAATGAGCTTTGCTGTATCATAAACCTGGAGTTGAACTTCTCTCCGCAG